CAAAAGTTTAGCTTCGGCTGAGTGAGGGGCTAAGAAGGGAAGTGAACATTGCCTTTGCAGGGACGCCTCGAGACGTTGATGACTTACAGAAGGGAGAAGAGCAAGTCCCAGAAAACCAACTTGATCCGTGGATGGTGCACTGAGTCAGAGATGCAAAAGCTTGGCTGGCCTGAGCTCTTTAGTTCAAGCTAGATCCATTTGTGCACGGCTGAAACCATGTTATCCTGCACAGTCTCATACGGTGTATGCCTCAGGAACAAGGTGAAAGGTGCCATGCACTACTGCGAGAAGCACCGGCTCACGAAGCAACTCCTCTGATTAAAGCGCCGATCTGCAGTGCTTGTTGCAAACAACCCAATCCTTTGGCAAGCTGTCGACTGTCGATCCCAGGCGGTGCAAATACACGAACGAGCTCAAGTTCCTGGTTGAGTTAGAGGACAGAGTAGACGACGAGCTACTTGTTCGCTTAAAGCTCGAAGAGGAAATGTCTGCCATAAACGGCAATTACGCAGACGACAGCTTCGCCTTCAGCATCGCCACCGAGGAGGGCGATGAGCCTGCTGCTGGCAAGGAGGGCAACAAGAAGCTGGTGCTGGAGGAGTGGCCCGAGCTCGTCGAGGACAACTTGATTCTCAGGGTCAAGAAGTACAAGGACCACGCCGTGAAAAGGAAATCCATGTTCAAGGCCACGGAGGACAGGCTTTCCGAGGAGAAGTGTACGGGCCAAGAGAGGCTTGCCTTATCTTATGCTTTTTTTGCAAGCAAGAAGCCTTCAAGCATTAATTGTCGCCTCGGATTCTCCAGAGATCACGCCTTGGTGGAGCCATTATATGGCTCATGTGCTGTGGTTCCTAGGGCTTCAGCTTGTTTTCTATATGGGTTCGAAGTTATGTTTGACAGCTTTGATGGGGGCAGGCTTGTTCCAATCAGCTGCATGTTGCATAGTCAGTATATAATGAGATCCGCTCGCGATGTCGCCCGGGAGACCTCAGAATGGGAAATGTATCTTCCTGCACTAGCAGAGGCCTTGTATTCTGCCTTGGGTGTCGAGATTGATGAGTATCAGCTCTACCTAGACATGGAGATGGAAGCTTTGAGGGAGAGCATCATGGAGCTGCATGCCACAATCCCGGAGGAGTACGATACATCTCTGGATTTGCTAAGAGCTGCTGCAGATGTCTTTACGAGTTTGAGGTATCAGACGATCGGCCAGCCCATGATACGAGTCACAACCGGCCTTCGCCGACGCAATCCCAAACATGAAGTACCACTTCACTTGCAGTACATCAAAAATGGCCTTCATCCAAGTATGCTGTACAACCAAGTCACCGGTACTTTGGATTTCTTCCAGCAGCTCATCGTTCCAGTTGAGCCCCCAAGCAGCCTCAGATGGAAGAACTTATGTCATCTCTGGAAAGAGGTCGTATGTGTCCCCCCAGCTGTTGTGGAGCTCCAAGAGATGGACTGAGCGGATCGAAAGTGTGGGTGAGCTTTCTGCGAAGTTTTGAGCAGATCTTATGCAAAAGGATGGAGCTGGGCCCGGGGATGGCCAGCTTGCATGTAAAATTAAGCTCAGAATCCCGAAAGCCGAAAGCCGTGGAAAGCCACAGGATAGCAGCCTCTGCACGATACTTCTTAGAACTATACCTTATAAAGCTGTATACCCAAAAAACCCTGAAATCATTAATCACAAACCCCGCATAATCCCGCCTCTGTAACATGGGCTTCCGAGGTTTCACTGTTGGGGAAACAGGCTTAGAGACACTTATAGGTGGCAATGAACTTTGTTCTATGACTAGAAACCACAAAGTCATCATACTCGGCCCTTGTATCTTGTTAAGAACCCCTACCATATGCTTTTCATATCCAAACTATGAACCATGTATGTAGTCTTGCACTATAGATATACAATGTATATCCAAAGGACATTTCAATATATAGTCTAGCGGGAAATAAATGTGCAGAAGACAACTCTGCACGCAACCACGAACGAAGTACCTCTACCCTAAATCCTACATTCCTATATATATTCTCCATTAAACCCAAAGACCCAAGCCCGAGGCTCCACTTCATGCGACAGCGAGCCTAGTCATGTCACGAGCCCCCATTCCCCGCACGGTTGAGGGTTAAGCTTAGGCTTAAGGGTTTGGTTAAGCTTAGGCTTAAGGGTTTATCGGGTAGTTTATTTTTTGATAAGGGTTCCGGGTCGAGGGTTATGATTTTTTGCAGTGGTAGCAAAGGCCCGATCTATCTCGAACCCCCCTACAAGCCCTGTTTCGAACTGCTCCTAATCCCTTCGGCCCAGGAATGACTTCGCCAACCTGAAGAAAGCCCTAGGCTCGCCGATTCCAATCGTTCACCTCGCCGATTCCAACCGTTGATCTGTCACCTCAGTTGTGCATAGGGTTTAGGGTTTAGGGTTTAGGGTTTAGGGTTTAGGTGTTGTCTTCGCATTAAATACCCCTCTCTGGCAGATGCCATCCTGGAGACCTACAACCTGGTCTGTGCTGTGGAAACCGGTGCTGACAAAAAGAAGCCGCTTGGAAGCAAATACGATTCGTAAAGTTCTGACTGCATCTCATAGGTTCAGCACACATCCTTTCAATTGAGGCCTCAGAGCTATGCCTCGCCTTGCTCTTCGCTTCAATCGCAGCCTCTAGCCTGATGTCAATAAGATGCAATGACTTATCATCACGTGTATAAGTGTCACTCCTGTCTATAAGGTGCCAAGCCTTCGACAATCATCTTCAAATTGTAAAGTTTCTTGGCTTTATCCTTTGTCGTGCGATGTTGCTGCCCATACGACATGTATTTGCACCGAGGACATACTTCAAGCGGCGAACCGCTGCAAAGAAGGCTCCCAAGCCGAAGGACGAGTCCTAAGGACTATCCGAGTGAACAGTTGGCATGCTGCTAGCTTAGATCCTGTGTGGTGTGAGTGTGAGGGTGTGCAGCGAAGACTGTTGTATATACTGAGCGATCCGTTCTTATAATCAGGAATATATCTATGTAGCAAACTCCGGCTTGCACAGTGTATACATTAGCTGTATGGTTTTAGGTGCTGGCCCCGAGGAGTTTCAGAATCACTCATCCTCTGTGGATTTCGAAAGCATCTCTCGGTATATAGTGCACACTCGGGAGTCGCACGGGTTGCTGGCAAAAGCTGTGCCACTAGTTACAATCCGCCGAGAGTGCTGCTGGGCAAAACCGTTTCGTGCATTGATTTCGTATAGAGCATACATAATGTCTGTGTCCACATACACATGTACCGAGCCAGGTGGCCGTGACCTCGTGGATGAGGTCGTCAGCACTTTCATCGTGCCTGGGTTTCAGGAAGATTTGTAGTGTTACGAGCCGGTTCAGGGTGTTTCCATATAATAGGGTTTAGGGAAAGAAATCTCCAGCCAGAATATCACTCCAAGACTTTACCTATGCCTCTATAAGCCCTGGCTACTTGAGTATGCAAATATACCCTTGCATATAATAAGCGCCGGAATCCCTCAAACCTCAACTTCTATCTATACACCTATGTAAGTTCTTATTGGTGGGATTTCGGTTGCTTCCAGGGTTGATCTGATCAGCTGAGGCTGGCAATGCATCCAAAGCTGTGTCCATTGCAAACACAGCTACAAAGCGAACTGTGTCTGCCTATTTGGAGGGTGAGCAAGAAACCTGGGATTTGAAAAAGATCGCCAAAACCCATGGCACTGGATCCGGAAATCAGTTCCGAGGCCTTGTTCGAGGTTTGGAGCAGATGGGCCGCACGCTCCAGGTTGAAATCGACTACATCGCTGTTCCTTACTACAACCAAGGCATTTGCCAGCACCCCATACTTTCAACTCGAAGCCTGTTTACCTACATGCTTAACAATGGGTGCTCCAAGCTGCTGCTGGGAGGCTACGATATCAAAATGAATGAATCGAGAACTGTTCTTCGGCAATGGTGGGAACGATACAGGGTCTACGATCCCGGTCACCCAGTTTTCGACAGCAAACCGTTGGAGGACACCGTGCCGCTGGCTGTATATGGAGACGAGGGGACCGGTAAACGAAAGCACCCCTGCTACATCCTTGCAACCAAGGCAATGCTGAACTGTCGCAACAACAGCTACTATCGGTACTATCGCAACTTCTTGTACACGATCGCAGCCCATGAGCTTTACCGGGGATTTCACAAAGGTTCATCGCAACACAACGAATGTTTGGATGAGCTTGTGCGACACTACTCGCTGGAAGCTGGTTCTCTCTTTCGAGAAGGTTACCGGGGTTACTAGAAGTAAAAATACACATTTATAAATGCATCAGTACCCATAGCACCCTATAGCCCTCTACCTATAAGCTTATGTTGTTGACATGTTTCTTGGTATAAAAAGTAAACCTTACAAACCCTCAGGCAGGGAACAGCTGAATTATAAGTTTTCTTGGCTGGGGTGGTACTATATATGGGGCTTCTAGGTGGGGTGGCTCCTACTGGGGGTTGTGTATTCAGGGCTTTGGGATATTTAGCATGACCCCTGCAACAGGCATCACTGTGGATGTCAATGGCACGGGCACTGGAGTTCGCACGCTTTACTTCGCTTATGTTGGATGTCTTGGAGATTTGCCTTTTCAGGCCAAGATCTGGAAGCAAGAGCGAAATTTTCAGTGTGCAGCTTGCTGTCCTTTCTGCTTGGCCACACGAGACGATCTTTGGGATGTTTCAGACCAGCCCTCTTGGGCATCGCCAGATGTGCCCGCCCCATGGTTGGAAGATTCAGTTCTTGCCACGATCCCTGGGATGTCAGCTCCTGTTATGGCCCGACATGACATATTTCACCTGGGACATTTAGGGGTGGCACGCTATTTTTATGCATCCACCCTGGTGCTGCTGTGCCGGAACTTTGGCTTCTGGTCTGGTCCTGCTTCAGACAAGTTGGGTTCCAGATTAGCAAATGCATATGATGATTTTCGCACTTTCTGTCGCGGGGTCGGGCAGACCCCCGTTGTGAAGGAGTTTACAACTACAAACCTCCATGCAGCACAAACTGGTTTCCCCAAATGCAGCTTCAAGGCAAGCGACTCTGTGCTCATTATGGACTTCTTGGAAGATTACTTGGATCGACCCTGGAGGTTCGACGACGAAGGGGTCCAGCACACCATGCTGACAGCGATTATTCAGTACAATGCTTTTCACAGGTGTTGCTGGAAAGCAGACGACAGGAGGTGGCTGAGTCGTGAAGAAGCTACAAAGGCAGCATGCTGCCTGGATGCTTTTATCTCCTGCTACGTCTTGCTGGCAAGGTGGGCCTTCCGAAAGGAAATTTGCCATTGTGTGCTGGTTCCAAAGCTACACTTCCTGAAACACCTGGTGCTGGACATGCAGAAGGATTTAGCAAACAGAGCAGCAACAAAAATCGCCAACCCGGCCATGTTTGCCACGCCGGACGGTGAAGACTTTATCGGAAAGATATCTAGGCCGGTGCGGGCGCTGCACAGCTCTACTGCATCTTTAGGGCGACTGCAAATATATAGAGCAGAGATGCTACGAGAATGGGCAGGGAATGGCTAGCAACATTATATATGTCAATATATGTACATATACTTATAGGTCAGAAAACGAGCCATTCCCGCCGAGCCGCATGGATTTCGTCTGCGAGGATCGCCGCCGGCATGGACAAAGGCATTTAGGGATTCCAGGGGTTGAAGGGTACTGGGTGTGAAAGGGTTAAGGGGCTTGGATTTCAGAATTTGTGACTTGGACTTCCAGGGGTTAAGGGTCCTGGGGTTGAGAGTCTCGGAGGGAAGGGGTTCAGAGCTGAAACCCAATACCCATAGACCCTAAACCCTAAACATAAACCCTGTATAACCATAAACCCCTCAGATCCCAAGAGCCAAAAAGTTGGTCACACAAGAATAATTGGTCATGGCCCCGAAACCAAAAATAGGGAGATGGTATGACCCTACAGGTAGATACATACTTACACACATACACACATACATACATACATACATACATACTTACTTACTTACATACATACACACATACATACGTACGTACATACATGCAGGGATACCTGCCCAACTACATACATATTTTGTTTCTCTCTCTCTCTCTCTCTGTATGCCATGCGATAGGCGAGCCTTGCCACTGTCATGCCGCCGTTTATGTGACAGACCCATGAGAATTGCCGTTGTTTCTAAACCTGTTCTTGACTATGTAAGTCAACACTACTAAGTAGACAAGTAGATGTATTTCGTCGTTCTCAATTCATCTGAATTACTACTACAGTGATTTCACCACCCTGCAGGTCCATGCAATGCTTTACCTGCTCATGTGCACACAGACACATGTGCGTGTTATTGTGGGTACACATATAATATATATATAATATATATATATATATGTTTATACATATACATATCTATATATTTACGTACATATATATATATATGTATAGAAAT